GGGGAGGACAAACAGGAAGAGGGGATCGAGGCCTGCTATTGGCAGCGGTCAAGTATATGCAAAGTAACTGCTTCAACCGTGTTTAGGCTGCATACACATGTAGCTTATCTTAAAGGTAAGCAAACATTACAGAGGAATTCATACGAAAGCTTCCATTTGAAGGCAAGAATCGTTTCCATATGCCACCTGCGTCCTTGAGGAAAGTCTAAGAACACAGACATGGCTCAGATTGGCAGGAAGACATCTTACTTCCTCCTACTGGCACTTCTGTGTGCTGAAGTGCTGTCTGTCTTCAGTGACTCCCTGACTGACAGAGACTGGGACTGGTCAGCAGGGACGCCTCACAACCAGGACACAATCAGGTACAAGGTCGCAAACAGTGATGATGTCACGCTTCCCTCGTCCAATGAGAACACTGGGGAAAGTTGGCAGATGGATGATATGTCTAGCCTACTTTACGAGTACCAAGATGATGAGGTAAGAAATGACGATAGCTCTGCTATAGATGAGGTAATAAGAGACTTAAAACATGTTCCAGAGACTCCCAAGCCAGGAAGTGATGCTGTGTTAGAGGATGGGGAGCCAAGAGTACATGCTAATCAGGATGATTCTTCTGCCAAAGTGGTAAACCTGCATCATTTCAGGGAACTAGCCGACGAACCGAGCGGCCACAGGAGCATGGCGATAAAGGAGCAGCAGTGTCGGTGTCCGACACAGGGTCGTGCGCTCCAGGACAACGTGTACGCCGAACATGAACGGCTGCTGAGCGAGATCATCAGAAACAACGAGAACAGACTCAGGAAACTCGTCAGGAAACAGAAGGCGCATAAACGGGAGTACGAGGAAAGGCTGGATCGACTGCTGGAACGGGCCAGAAGGAACGTTCGTCTCCATGGCAATGGCTTGACAGGACGGGATGACAGGAGAGGAGGCAGGCGGAAGAGTCCAGCCCAGGAGAGGGAGGACAATGAGATCAACCTTATCGGACCTGGCACACTGTTTGAAGAAATTATGCTTATGAAGCCAGGTTAGGATTTATGTTCTTTTGGATTTTATCCAGCATCCTAATCTATCTCAATCACAGAGAAACTCTCTTCCATGTGTAACCTACATTCCAATCATTAACTTGATACAGTAACATTATTGGCCAGTCTGTTACCATTTTCACTTTGAACTAGATTGACGTCAGGATCCCATTTCTTCTAAACTCTTTTGACATGTATTTTTATGTCAGCTTGTTGGTAGGGCTTAACTAATGGAAGGAAACATGGTTTTAATCCCACTACATTTATAACAAGTTTGTAAGGCTGGTTATTGCTGACAGAAATTATCACTCATCATTTTCATCAAGACCACATTCTTCTCTGAATGCCTTGGGGGGAAGTCAAGTGTAAAAAAATGCCATAACTTACTTTATTGAAGAAAAATTTGGTCTCAACTCTAATACAGGCCAGCTGCATTTCTCAAATGAAACAGCATATGAAATTCAATCCCTCAGGCATCTATAACCAAATACATTCATGTATATCATCTACTAGTAAACTTCACTCAAAAAGTTCAACTTGATTGTTATTTAATTTGCATGCTGAAAAAGTTCTCAACAAAAACTTAAAACAAACACCAATGCATACTCTTCCTTAATCCTTGTCAACTTAATTCTTTTCTGCATTTATTATCAATTGGCAGCAATGAAAACAAATGGAGATAAAGACGCCTATAACACACAAGATTGGTGGCATCCTCCAATACAGTGTGATAGTCCCATGCATATGTATGCAGTCCATGGCAGACATATTCAGTCTCCCTTGAATTAGGGATTACACTCCAGTGACCCCCTAGGGGAGGAGTCAGGTATGAGCAATGGGAACAGTTGGGCCTGGCCGAGCTGGGGCAGTTGTCCCTATGTACATGATTCTGTGCCATTGTGAAAACTCTCCCTTGACAAATTACCCATTTCCCCAGCTCTGACTTTCCACAAAAAGTTCTCTCCTTCACAACTTCTTGTCCAGATTGAGCACAAGCCTCACAACGATCACCATGCCTGGTCGTAAATTCGTCTTGCACTTTCTAGGCCTGAATATCACCCTGCACCTGCTCATGTTGGAGCTTCAGGCCGAGGAAAACCGTTACCAAGTCTCCAACCAGCAGAAAATGTTGAACATGCACGACGACAAGATCCTACAACTCAGCATCAGGAACAGGTAAGTCTCCTTCATTGTACTGTATACAACGTGGCAAAGTAACGGGGTGCGGGTCTTTTCTCTTTTATACCAACTTTCTTCCACCGTTCCTGGAGTCTCATTGGCTAGAACCACACACCAAGGTGATAATTGGCAACAAGAGTCCTAGTTAAAACAAAAGTTGACCTACAAGTGTCAGTGGGCCAGGTCTTACATGTAGGTACATGTAGCAACTCTATAGGACAGGAAGAGAAAGTTACTGTAGACTGTTCTAACATGATTGTAAGATCACAGTAGTGGTACTGGTAAAGAAGTTATCTTTTGTGAGGAAAAAAGGAAGACACAGTAACTGATATTTTAACACTCAATTTGTCCTTGCTTTTTTTAATGTACCTCTTGCAATACCCAGGTATAAAGTGTATAATGATGTCTTACTCTTAGAAAAAAAAAACCTGGCTGCATTATTTTATAGCTTTTCTTTTATTCTGATTCAAAGCTGACAGGGAAAATGGACAGGAAACCTACAAAAAATGATATAGAAATGTGCAGAAAAATTGGGCTGTATATATTTGTATTGCTTTGCACAAGCCGACAAGGACTTGTCTCTTAAGATAACCGTAACTCTGCTTTCTTCAGGCATCATAAACCATGGAATTTGACCTGTATAGCTGAACTTAACCTGCAGAAGGAAGTTCAAGAGAAATGCTCCCACGTATAAAATGACTTGCAGGCAGTACCACATTCTATGTGAGGGTGCCTGGTTGAAAAGTCAGCAGGGGATCCGGAGTGGGGAGGGTGAGGGACACACCCACTTGTCGCTGAAATCTGACAAACCAGCACAGAAAGTGCAGGTGGTCTGGTTATGTGATGGAAAAATCATAGCCTGGAGTCCAGCTTTAGTTAATAGCTGTAGTCTACTCCCTAAATCTTTAACATTGGAGAAAAGTATGCAGGCCACAGTTAATGTTACATGTATGGGGCTCAAAAAAATATCTCGCCTAATCCCCAACTCTTCTACAACTCCTGTGATGAAGCTCATGTGACCACCAGTGCTAATAATACCCATCTACTTTCCTAACGAATCTGTAGATAACTGCTGTTTATCTTTTGATTGTTTCGGTCTGTTTCTCCGCTCCACCTAAACCACAAAGATAACCTCCTCTCATCACCTGTGAGGAAAGGATTTCTGGATTACGGGGGAAATCTTGGCAGACTCGAAGTGATGACATCCTCTTGCTTACCAACAAATAGGGAGCACCTGTTCACACATCAAAGCAACTTTACTACTTTGTCTTTTTTCAAAACAAAAACCTTTGATTAGAACAGATCGCAGAAACTAGAAAGCCTCTTGATTAGGACATTACATGGCTGTGAGGCACTGTAAAGAATTGAAATCCAGTCACAACCTAGGTCATTACGTATGTAAAGTCATGGCAGTGCTAACAAGGTATCTAATCAAGTTACTGTATGACTGTCTTCACAACATCAAGGACAGTGTTCTAGCCTGCGTTTGTGTTACCGTCACTTGACGGAATTCGAGATGACAAAATTGAGATGGCGGAAAAAATTTCAGGCTGTCTAGAACACTTATTATGTTTTACTTTATCAGACCGTCAGACATAATAAGACTAAGGACAAAGACACGATCCAGAACTTGACCTTGACATACCATTTGGATAGAATCATTTGAGAGATTTACTTAGATGTAGGCATATGACACCATGCAGCTCAAGTTAAACACCAGAACATGAAAGAAAACCCTGTCTGGTTTCTGGACAGACCTCCAGATAATATTTAGTTAGTCATCTGGTCTTTGTTGTTACTGGACCACACTTGACAAAGGTTGGCACATCAATTCTTCTCATGCCATAAAACAACAGAAACATTTGGGCCACAACTGTTGACACACTGCAGGCCATTTGAAGTTGTGTGTTTCAAATGGAAGTATGGCTGATACATTAGAAATTCTTATAGCCGGATCAGGTTTTATTGGCTTTACTTTTGGTAATACTAGTTTGGGTGGCTTGGCCACAGCCACCAGCTACCACAGGAAGACATATGAGTAGGACTGCACTGCCACCTAGCGCATAAATGAAGAATTGCAGCAAAATCTGTACAGCAGGAGATAAGTAGGAGAGGTCACTGGCTGCAATATGTGAAACACTGTGTCACTGTGAATCATAGATGTTGACAAGGCTACTGCTGGTAGTAGCTTTTATTTTAGTTATGACTCATTGAAGGAGTGTTTGTTACTGTATTTACAACTTACTATTAAATTGGTACAAATTACATCTTCCTACCAGCAGACTAACCCACTGCTTTTAATAGTCCTTGCCAACTGTGTGGCCCATGGGCCACAGACCCGGATAAGTACATTATGTATACCACCTATACATCGAAATTTGCGGAAGGATTTAACTATTAAACATTTAAGTACGTCAAGTATCTTCTCTGCTCTTCAGTCAGCAGGGCATCCTGATGAGTAAACAGATCCGAGCCATGAAGATGCTACAGGACAGAGCCAACCAGATGGAGCAGGAGCTACAGAACATGAACAAGATGGTGAAGGGGGCCGACAAACTGGATCAGGAGCTCAATGACTACAAAGTGGTAAATGTCTAAAGTTTACAGTGTCGCTGTTGATTGTAAACTTAGCTGGCTGGTGCTGAAAGACCTTCACAAAGAAACTTTCTAACTTCTTATTAAGTTGGTCACCCAGGCCATGCAAGAATGGATTAGGATTTGTGGACTCGCTTTAAAAATGAGAAAGAGGTACAAAATTAGTGACGAGTCCAGAGTTGGGGCCTCGAATTCTATTGGTACATCTTGTAATTAAGGGGGGCAGCAATGCCTCCTATCAATTATTTTGGAAACTGCATTTATAGTGACAATATGCTAAGTAGGCAAAAGTATGCACCTTATAAGGTTAGCAAAGATAAGGAGGTAAAAGGCAAACCTAGATGCCCAACTGTTTCTCATTAATAAATGGAGACCTACATGTACATGTACTGGCACAGACCAGACTACGACTGCCACCTATCTAGTCATACCTATACTGCATGGTCCTTTACACTTAAACCAACCCCACTCAATCCAGCCTTCCAACAAGCTGAAATTTTCATAGACTTTCTAACTGTTGACCATGCTATTGACTGTTTTTTAATGATATTGAGATGTGCGCTGAAAATTCCTTTGAAAATGCGTAGGTCCTTGGGAAGCTGCAGTTGAAGGTTGAACAGAAGGCCCTGTTTATAAACCACTACACGGGGAAGATCTCACGGCTACAGAACAGGCTGGAGTCCATGACCAGGGATTACTCCATCAGGTATCATGGTAAGTCAAACAACTATCCATCAGTCATTATCAAGGGGTTGAGCAAGGACAAGTACAATGGTGAGTGCAGTGATCTTCCGCTTGTGTGTAGGTCATGTTTTGAGATCTCTTTTTCAAATAAAACCATTGTTTTGTTGACAACATGATTGTAAAGCTTACGCCGAAGACATAAGCAGGAAGAATATGTTTCCCATTTTCTGCTATCTAACAATACAATGTCATGATTGTACTTTGCTATCCTTCTCACTGCTAGGGATGCATCCATGCAACAAATGTTTATTAGTTACTTCAACTGTTAAGATGGAAATTTGCAGACAGAGTGTTGAATGCATGTAGAATGTTGAGTACATGTACTCGTCTGTCAATGTAAGATCTCCTTGACTTGATGGAGTTCACCTGCTTGGCCCTGATGTTTCGGTTCAGCCATCAAAAGTTCCGAGACATCTGGGGAAGTGTATCGCTGACAGCCATACAGACAAATATCTTCTGCTATGTGGGGCTTGGTGTCTGTGAACCACTGGCAACGTGACAACATAAACAGATCATTAGCTCAGGAAAAATGCTGCTTCCCATAACCAAGAATCTCAAGAGGGGTATCACTTGAAGCAGGGGTTGTACAGGAAGGCGTAAAGATGTCCTCACCTTTAACTTCTTAAAGTTCCTGTTTGTGGATTCTAGCACCAAAGGGAAGCTATCTTTAAGTGTGAAACAGGAAGGATCTGTACATGTGTGTCTGGGGTTTAGTGATGTGAAAATAAGAGTGGCATTTGGGGGCAGGTTCATGCATTTCTTTTTCCTTTTCATTCCATCTACTACTTTTCTCTGTTGTTAGCAAACGTTTAAGTAGCACAATTGTGGTAGCAAGTGGGAAACAGTGGCAATGGTCTGGTTATTGGTGTTAAGTTGTGACACCATGGATTTAACTGCCTTTCTCTCTGTGCAACATGTCCCTATACCTTGACTGACAGGGGTCAACAGATTCTCATGGTGCAGAGGAGGAGGGAGGGTGTGGGGGATATCAGGAACTTGATATAATCAAAACAAAACGTTATTTACTGACCCAATTCCCTACACTTCAAACTGTCCGGGTGCTACACAAAGAATGTCCTGATGTTCTGTGGATGAAAAACTCAATGGGCACTAGAAACATGCTTTCTAACATGTTGCAGGGAATGGCTTACATTGTACGTCTTAGAGAGTTATTGACTTAACCACAACGCCACCTATCAGGTCTGCTACAAGTAACAGGATCCACAAAAAACGGCTGCAAGCGCGGATGCGATGACATCGCTCCTGCTAACAAGGAACAGAGCTCTTCCATGCATATACATTTTCAGTTGAAGATTTTAAAGAAAATTCTACCCAAAGATATTGCCGACGTTGCCCCAAATGAAAACAACCTATCACTTATCCAAAAGTATTCGTGTAGAAAAGTCTCTCAGGCAGAGTTCGGGCGGAAATGCTTGGGAAGTCCTTGTTTGCTACTCATGGAGTGACACGTCAATCGGCAGAGCTAACACCACACAGCAGTGTTGAGTATAGAATTACTCCGGTTGCGCTAATGACAACTGACAGTTGGGGTATAGTGGTGACCCTTGGACCTCTGGGTCTGTCCCTGGAGGCCCGCACTGGACATACCATCTCCGCCAGGTTCAAGCTTCCCAATGGTTAGACAGCACTGAGTCCTGTGGGTCACAATCCAGTTCCTCCCGACATGTGGTTTTCTCTATCCTTACAGAAAGACGTTCCTACCTTAATTGACCGTTTCGACACAGTAAATCTACTCCAAGGTCATGCCCTTTCGAGTCCGCCACACATCGTGTTTTCCCGTCCTTCCCATAAAGCTATAGCCTGGCTGGGTGGATGGCACCGAGGCTAATAAAGCTACCGACGACATACACATGTACATGTAGTTCGTTTGCTGTATGTTGATCTCAAAGTCTAATGTAAACATTGGGACCTCAAGATGTAACGAAAGAAAGTAGAGGATTGAATTTATAGGTCATCCTCTTTCGAGAGGCTGACGAAGTTGTGTATGTGCACATGTGATGATGTTTATGATCCCGTATTAAGAAAGGGACCGCGGGTGATTTTTTTTCCCAAACTCCGCATGTCCCTGTCCCAGAGCGACGTACTGGCAAGGAAACAAGTTAATCAAAACGCGCCATGAAAGGTGGAAAAATAAACACGGAGTCGAATGTTGATAATTTGTCACGGTTGAAACATGGCGTTTTTGGACGGCCGAGCTGTGATGAGATAGGAGTAATGATATCAGAGAGTAAACAAAGACACATGGCAGAAGAGAAACACCACCTAGCCCTAGGAATCAACAAAGGTCAAAGAAGTTCGCGAGTGAACATAAAGACGATGGATTTAGATAAAGAACTATCGACACAACAATTTGCACTGTGCACGGGAAAGAAAGGAATCAATCCATGACAGGGTAATCATTTAGAGGGGCTTCGTCAACTGTTTATCAACTTTGTTTTTTATCAACTTTTTTCATCAACGAAACTTCGATACACAAAGCATATCACTCACTGTCTCGTCCGGATAAAAGTCTCATAAACCATTCAAGGTTCGTCAATAACTATGTTTTCTTGCCCCCTTCCCACAGATCGTGTAAAGGACTGTGCATCGCTCTACATGCGGGGGTACACATCATCTCACGTCTACACCATACCTACGTATCAGGACACCTACGTCAAGATTGCGCCAACGCAGGTAAAGGGTTTCATTTGCATCGAATGCATTGTGAGGTGACGGTATATTCACGGTGACGTACAACACGATGTTCACAATTCTCTATGCTCAGTATACATGGGTTGTCCGGTAGACGTTTTGATGACATACGACATTGTTTTATTTCTTTATTGCGTTTAGCTGTACTGTGACATGGATGAAGGAGGAGGCTGGACCGTGATCCAGCGGCGGTTTGACGGGTCTGTCCGCTTTAACCGGACCTGGGACGACTACCAACACGGCTTCGGGACGTGGGAGGGAGAATTCTACCTGGGCAACGACAAAATCCACAAGCTGACAAATATGGTAAGACACACTCTTCAATGGTCTGGTGGAGCGTTTCAGGCATCAGGACAGCTGCGTAGATGTCACGACATTGACTCCAAGGTCGTTGTGGTGCACTATTTATCACAGAAAACTTAGTTTTGTCCTAATAACTAACTTTACAGGCCTGCTATTTTCCCTTTGATTAGAAAAAAATATTGAAATATTGAAAATATTTAACGGCTGCTGCTGGGCAACTATGTAGTTGTAGAACTTTCAAATATATTGACTTTTGCTTACGTTTCCTTTAGAACAAGTACATGGTGCGGTTTGTAGTGACGGACTGGAAAGGAGAGGTCCGCTGGGCAGAGTACGACGAGTTCCGGGTCGAAAATGAAAGCACCAACTACCGGGCTCACGTCGGGAAAGTCTCAAGTGATCATGAACATGGAGGTAGACAACTATTCCTACTCTAAATTAGATATGATTATACACAATGTCTTTATGTGCAAAATGAAATATCATATTGCTAGCATGCTAGATACCGCAAATATGTACGGATGCACCAAACACCGTAGGTTTTACAAATACTGTACAAAACGTGACGATGTTGGTTACAGTATTAATTTTGTATACAAAGAGAAGGAAGCATTACTTTTCTTCTTTTTGAAAAGTATATACAGTACATGCCTGACAAAAATTATATCCTTCAGGACAATTCATCATGGACGGCGCGCAGTTCTCTACCTTTGACAAAGACAACGACTCGTACGAGGACGGCAACTGCGCGAAGGAGATGGCCAGCGCCGGCTGGTTCTCCAACTGCGGCATCTCCTGTAACTGGAACGGGAAGTACTACAAGAACGGGCAGTACCAGATCTCAGGTGCCGCCGACGGGATGTGGTGGTGGAACTGGCACGGTGTGTCGTACTCACTCAAGGCCATCACCGTGAAAATACGCCCGGTGGACTTTGACCACTGACGTAAAAGAGCCATGATGGGATCACCTCTTCAGTATATATACAGTTGACGCCTTTCTAAGTCCCTCAGTGGCGTCAATAGATATTGTTGTTTTTAGAAAGAATTCAGAGAACACTTTCTGAATTTTAAAGGTTTCAGGGAAAAGGCCTCAGCTTGATGATGTAGAAAGATATACGCAAAAAGTGGGCGTGCGACGAAATAACTTTTAGGTTAGTTTAAATAGATGAATTATTATCGATGTCAATTTTACACAAACCACTGTTTGTAAGACAAAACAGTGCCTCATAAATACCTTTGAGATTAATAACCAGAAAATGTACCTTTTTACACATACGTTTGAATCATTACCTCTCTAGATGCCATCTTATATGTACTGTATATTTTATATTTTAAGCTAACGTTAACGGGTATTGTGATAACGAAACTAACAAACGAAGGCGCTGTAGATATCGACGTTTATTATATTCATTTTCATACCACGATCCAAGGACATGTATTTTGCGATTTAGCAGCAGACTGTGTATGACTGTACACCACATATCTCTCTTTCGGCCTAGCTTCGTATACCACATATACTGCATGTGTATAGGGCACGAAAATTGATAGAAGCACATATTTCACAATAAAAGTATTCCTGTTCACCTGCGTATTGTCTTTCGTCGCTGATAGTGCAATGTATAAGCAAAACGTTTGAGGGTCTTCTATGTCGTCCCCAATCTGTCAGGCACCCCGCCCTACTTCCACAGCTCCTTTACTGGTGTTTAGAGACAAGTTAACGGGATTAAGACTAAACATAAAGGTATTTGACGACAGACCACTTAAGCCGACCTTGAGATAATCAGTATGGAGAAGTAGGAATCATACAGGCAAAGGAAAGGGCAAGAACATAATGAAAGGAGTCGGAAGGATCATGAATTATTCAATGTCTCTCAACGAAAAAAGGACAGACCATGCTATGTAACCAATGACTTATTCAGAGTTAATATGCCATTGGTTAATCAGATGTACTTCATTTTGCGGACACTGGCAAGTATGGTACTGGTACCGGACGTCGGGACCAAATGGCAGCATTGTTCTTGCTGGCAACGCTAGGTGCCGCTTGCATTCTATGAGTCAAGTAGCTCTTGGGACATTTCGATTGGCAAGTGACATCTCATTGGCGACAACTGGACTTCACAACCTCATACACACACATACTCATGACGTTGACTTCAGTTATACATGTGAAATAAATACAGATGAGCTATTTTCGCAACGGCATCACCTACAGACTGTACAGTGTCTGGAAGTCCTCTGTTTAGGCAGACATATACGTGTGTGAGTCACATCGCCAAATGTTTCTAACAGTCAGACTATTGAACCTATTAAAATAATTCTGCGTCTTTTGAGAATATCTTCTGTTTACTAAATTCTGTAATTGGCTAGAGCAGGCAGCTGAGTGTGGCCCTGATCGGGACAGTACAGAAAGGCGACACTTCTGACACCGAGCAAATGAGCCGGCGGGACCGCGCGATCCGTATCTCCGACGGGACACGTCAACTGGTGGGCGAGACACCTGTTTCCACTACATCTTCTCGTAAACACGCCGATCTTCTACTCCCGAAAACGGAGAATAGAAGAAGCGCAGAGCGCGTGGTTCACAACTGCCGCGACTGACACATCAAAGTTAACGATTTTCCGTGACAGCTCTAAGTGAGCGACTACATCCTCGTGTTTATTTGATCATGTAAAAAGACCGAAAAGGCAAGCATGGAAAGGGTGAACGTCACAGGTCAGCTCAAACGTTGATAGTTCGTGGTGGCAGTTGATCCTGTCCAGAATCTGGGCTGGTGTCGACAAGGAGAAAGGGCGGTCGTCTCACGGGGGTATTCGACCGTTCACTGGAGCACGCAGGAATGCACAGAGGGTAGCTGGAACTTTCTGGTAGTAGGAAAATGTCCTAGCCACGGGATCGACCTCTGACATCTCTCGTATTTCAATTTCTCAACACAACAGCGTGGTTTTTAATGGTTATCAACAGAAACATCTAGCGAATAATCACAGGACCCCATGACGTGCTGTTTTCTTGATGAAGTTATCATCCAAGCGTTACCCTAGAAAATGATGTTTTCCAATTGGGCGGGTAACTAAATGGTTTGGGCTTGGTCGTGCCGACGAAAGTGTTGATCCCAATAAATCATGTTACCAAGCAGAAGTGGATACGTCCAAAGAATCCTAGCTGCTTCGGAGGTTGGGACGCTGGCAGAGCACGCCACCATGGCCTTACTTAAGTTACTAGCTTGAGAATGACAAATATACAAGTGCAGCCACTTCAGATGAGAGAGACTGGACAAACGTGAACAGGTACAGCGAGACATCTGTCGCGCAGTATACATAGTCCTGACCTTCAATCTGCGACACGAGGTTCATTCCCATTTGGGACTAATACCATAACACTGACCTTGGTCGGTCATCAAAGCTGTCCACTTCAATCTAGACAACCGTCAAGTTTTTCCAAATGCTACTACTACCCAGAATTCCTACTGAAATAAGATTGATACCATGCTGAGGAGGGAGCATGGGGGAACTAGATGAGCAACTTGTTCATCAAATAAAAAGCTGTCATACGACCCTTTGCTACGGTAAATTTCCCGTCTCCTCCGTTCTTTCATTAGGCAGCCCTGGCGCAGCGCCCGCGGTGGTTGGGGATGATAAATATACAGTCTGCAGTGCATCTCGGTGTGCTCAGTCGGACGTGGGTAGCTATCATTATCAAGGTCACATATGTGAACTGTCTGGACCCGTACCCCAGCGGGCCACTCATCCTTCCTGTCTGGAGGTGCTGGGCCCGAGGCCAAAACACTTGAGCACTTCGCGGGGGGCGAGGCTGTAATTAGACAATCCCAGGCAAAGAAGGTCAAGGGGAAGACAGTTGCCAAGTACTTTTTAAAACTCGATAAACTAAAAAGGGGGTTAGAAACGTTTGCTTGTCGCCTGAATCAGCACTTTAGGAAAGGGCTCGGAAGGTCCATCGGGAGAAGGTCGCATGTAGAAGGATCACAAGATGTGGGGAACGGGGGAGTGCGCTCCGGAGGCAAATTCAGGATATCAGGTTCATACCTAAAATATTTGGACGACGATCTGTGAAGTATAGAGATAAAGGGTGCAAGGGGCTTGATCCGGATGTGCCCTGAAGATCTAATCTACAAGCAGATGGGGAGATTCCAAGGTTTCAAAGTCTAGTCTAATCATGACAAGGATTTGATAATATAGACAATATTAAGACGAAGGACAAGCTATCGATTTGACTTCAACATCTGCACCAAATACTAAACTAGCCCGAAGCTATTGTCAGACCTTCTACATGCCCTATATAAATACTGGAGTTCAGTGAGTGTCCTGATAATCGGGGAGCGATTATTTGACAATTGTCTCTACCGGGATAAAAAAACAACTTCGAAATGTTTCTACCTTCTCGAGATGTTAGTATTTTCATGCAGGAAATCGGGTGAGACACAGGAGGAAGACATATTTCTAGGTCGCCACGAGGGGGAACGTGGACCACATCCAAGAGCAACAAATCGGAGATGCATCTCATCATCAGTCGTGATGGCCATGGAACTGACAGGGCCATGGGGGCACACACAGTATGATACACCTTCAAATGTCACCTGTCACGCGTAAATGACCAATATAGGCAACAAAGTATCAACAGACACCAGATCCTATGTCATTAAAAGTACCATAGCCCGAAGGTTAGGTCTGGTTATGGCTTCCTGATCTATCTCTGCCTTTGAAATGTCGCTTTGCTTACCCAGAGCAATGACCGTAACCGTCAAGGGCCCAAAATGCACAGTGCGGAGAGCCATAAAATGCCCTGTTTAAAGTGAAAACGGATGTAAAGAAAGTGTAGGATAGGACTGAATAACAATAATCCTTCACTGAACACTCAGTTCTTCAAGCACATAATAGCTAACTGAATGTTGAATGAAGCATATTATATGCAAAGATCCTCAAGCCTCACCGTCCATATTACGCGTTATAGCAATCTTCTTGGTAAGACAGCAAGTCAACATTGGTCAAGTACGACATTCAAGAACGAATCCTTCTGGAAGGCACAGTGGTTACGGTTTAATCCGATAGACCACGACTGCTGTGAGGCAGATGACGACTAGGATTACACATCCGGCCACCAACCGCTAATGACCAGACGTCAGGACAAACAAATCCTTCATAGGAAAACATACAAGACTTTCCTCTCTAATCTTCGCGTAACACCCCATGCCGCCGCATTGCAAACCCAACTTGACAGGCCAAAAATGTTAATCAGGAAATACCTCCTACAGGTTCAAGGAATTAGGGTTTCACGAATTGCCTGTAGGCTCGGCCTGAAAAAAATCACCGCGAACTCCATTAACGAGGTAAATGTGGCGCGAAATTCGAGATCATCAATTTGATTTACCAATTAATTCATTTTCTTTGTTGATGGCAAGATTGAAGCGGTATCCCTTAACATGAAGGTAGGAAATGGCAGAAACGATAGCAAAAAGAGCTTGTGAAGTATAATACTTGTGATAATTGGGTTACTTCATACGCCCCATATATGAAAGGACGCGAACCACATGGCCAGGGACACGGAGCGGGTGATGACTCAACTGGGCTTTGATGTCTGGCATCTCGCAGATGATAAATTTGATTTCAACAATTTCCATAATGTGCCTGGCATCTACAAAATTGTGACCAAATGCTTCGTAAAACTGACTATTTGACCATAAATAGCTAATTAGAGACACCCTTGCATTACTGTATTTCTATGTCGGTATCCTGACATCATCATCATTGGTGGTATCCTGACAAATACGCGCATTAATCAACAATATTTATGTAGACATTTGAGATATATTATTACGCATATAGATGAATGGAGACGTGTTTTTGTGACGAAGGCATTTGGCATATGCTTATCTGAATCTAGGCTAGTATGTAGTCTCTAAAGCATCATCCATGGGTGGCCCCATGATGACTTTTGGCATGGCTATGTTGACGTTGAAATATGTCACTACACAATTGATGTACATTTTGTCCAATCAACAAAATCCGTTCGAAACGTTGCCTTCGTGAAAATCAGCTATGAACCAGGAAGACTGGATCGTTACAGCAAAAAATAATAATCCACAATGGGTGAGAAGAGGTCACGTCAGCAATTTGACATTTTCTTCTTTTGACCAACAACACCTCCAATGACATCCATCAGAAACGCTTGACCTCCACATCACCCTGAAGGCCGGTGTCAGATGAACTCCGTCCGTGTGTCCGTTCCCGCCTACGCGCAGCTCGCCTCTCTCCGACCAAGACATCCCGGATTTATTTGCTCCTCCATCAATCTTGCACGATCCTGCTCCTCCTTTCCAAACATCGCCCGCATCACTGCTCCTTTTTATCACCAGCACAGACGTCACGAATATGTTAGTATGTAAGACTTCGCCATCAGGTCAAGCTACAGACCGGAGTAGGTGGAGAGTGGTGTCATGGGTCGGTGGGTGTCATCATTCAAAGAAACACGCTGCCCTTATCTTTGAACGATGAAACTAAAAAAAATTCCTCATCTGGAAATGTTTTCTGCCATGAGGTGATCTGCCATGACCTCCAAAGAAATCCATAAAATCACACTATGATCCTT